CGGAAGGTCTGGAGGGTGGTGAGGGTCCGAATCTCCACGGGGGGCTCGTTCCAGAGGGTCGGAGCAGCCACAGAGAAGGCTCTCCTTGTCTAAAATGCATTAGGATTTCCTGCTTGAGCAGGCAGTTGGACTAGAAGACCTCCAAATGTCCCTTCCAATTTGCTATTCCGTTATTCTGATGGGCAGAATGGTGCAAACAACTTCCTAGCAAAATAACGTTTGTTGATGACTACAAAACCATGATTGCTTGTCCATCCCACATCTACAAAAGCATCTTCCATGCCACCACTTCCTTCACACCTTGTTCCTTGTTTGGGCCTCCTGTTGCTGCCGACTCAGCAAGATAGTTAGCCTTCCTGAGCCCTCCTTGTCACCAACGTCCATGGGTCCCATTCCTAGGCAAGGTTCAGTTTGAAGGCCACACCAGTGGTGGGTTCCTACCGGTTCGGACGGGTTCAGATGAACGGTGGTGGTTTGCCAGCAGTAGTGAAATTCAATTTTTTTTACTACTGGTTCTGTGGGCGTGGCTTGGTGGGCGTGGCAGGGGAAGGATACTGCAAAGTCCCCATTCCCTTCCCACTCTGGGGCCAGCCGAAGCTGGTATTTGCTGGTTTTCTGAACTACTCAAAATTTCTGCTACCGGTTCTGTCAGAACCTGCTGGATTTCACCCGTGTTTGGTGGCCTGGGTCACTGGAACCAGCTTCTGCCCATGCGCAGAACATTTTTTATTGCACTGTGCATGCGTGTTCAGCATGCATCAAGTGCGTGGCACCCCCATGAGTGAACTGCCAGTAGTGATTGCCGGAACCCACCCCTGGGCCCAAACTGAGACCTGCCATTAACCCTTCTAAAGCCAAGGGCAGCAAAGAATTGTGGTTCTTCAGTGTGATGTCATATTGCCTGTTGCCTGATTGGCCGGGGACTGAAAGGACAGTTTGTGACGTCACGAGCCCTGGGAGCAGGAGGTGGGACCTGACATTTGTTGAGCGATGTAGGATGAAGAAGCTGCTTCTGCTCCTCTGGGCAGTTGATGCGCTCTGTCTAATCTATGATGATGCGGAGGACACTTGCACGTAAGTGAGGGCCACAGCTGGAAGTGAGTCACTCCTTTGGCAACACTTGGTTGTCCTGGTGCCCTGGGGCTTTCATACTTCAGCCAGAGTGTGCTGGGTGGTTGTTGGAGGTGGACAGGGAAAGCAACAGTGTTGAAGTGGGACCTTGTGGTGCTGCTGGGGTGGTCCCAGAAGCTTCCAGACTGCCATGATTGAACCCTGGAGGAGGAGGAGGAAGAGGCAGAAAAGACCTGGATCTCCCATATTTCTTTCCTACCATTCTTGAGAAGAGCAAGAAAGAGGATTAGGGGACTGGAGACTAAAACATATGGAGAACGGTTGCAGGAACTGGGTAGGTCCGGTTTAATGAAAAGAAGGACCAGGGGAGACAGGATAGCAGCCTTTCAATATCCCAGGGGTTGCCACAAAGAAG